AAACTTAGGTCTTATTATCACACTTTAAAACTTGCTGTCTGTCGAATGGCAGTGAAGTGAAATCTGAAGTCCACAATATGTTTGTCTAACTTTGTATCCTCAGAACTATCTCTGACAGGGTGGGAATTTTTAATTATATATGTGATGGCAGCACCATCAAAGTCCTACTTTTGATTTCAACACAGCTCTGTCCTCATTTTTTGCACATATCTGCACATCATAGTTTTACATAAAAGCCGCCAAGATTCTTGTTTTTCTAACGTTTCTTGCAGCACAAGAAAGTGAATGCACAGTTAAGTCAAAATGATCTGCATCAGGGTGAAAAGAAAGGTTTGATGCCTGTTATTTTATTTTGTGATATTTTCCCTGAAGAGACCTGTGCTCCCCACAGCAGAACTCTATTGACAGGCTGTTTGACTTATCTCTTGAACACGTCTCATAATTTCGATGGGCTGTGCTTGACACAGTGCACCTCTCACAACAAAGCAGCGATAGAGAGTCAGAGCACCTTGAACAGAGTAGGTCAGCATTTTCTTTTATATTGCACTAAATCTTTCTCACTCCATTACAAAGATGTTGAAAGTCTTCCACTATCAACTGTTTTGTGCTTCCTCAGTGTGCTCTGTGCCTCTAACAATTGGAACTTAATCAATCGAATGAAAGGCAAAATACGCTATTCCTCCATTCAGGAATGCCTCTTTTAAGTGAAGTCATTTATCATGTTTGTGTCAAGCAACCATAAGTCTTATTTGTCTTGTATCTATAAGCCCTGCTGTGTTTTTTCAGCTCTAATCCCAGATGTTTTGGCGTTGTCTGAAGTGCGTCAGAGTGGCAGTTCATATATTTTCTTTAAGTGATGTGTAATATAAGTGCAGCTGGCTTGAACAGGGTCTTTCAGTGTGAAATGGAAAATCCAAACCTCTTCAGAGGTGGTTTTGATGTGACACAGTCTGCCCCAATCCTCTTCGAACTTAGTCTACAGCCTTTCTAAAGAGCCAGTGTATTAGCATGCTAACATGCTAAAAAAACTGCCTAAACAAAGTGCAGCTGTGGCTGATGGGAAAGTCATGATAGTTTTGCCATGTACTTGGTCATAAACTGACATTTTGAATTGAAAAGGAGATTAAAATAAAGAGGCTCAAAGCTGTCATGTTGTGATGTATTTGTTCATTCAGTTCGAGAAAGGAGTTCATGACATTTTTGTCGCCCTCACAAAATTGTCAACTTGATGGTGGTGCTGGAGGAAGACAGGAGATCACCAACGTCAACAAAAATAAATCAAGTGGGAACCGTTAATGTTGGTTCATGGCATTGTATATGAACCTTAGTCGAAAACATTATTGTTTTTTAAGAAGTGGACAAAGCCACTACTTTACCTTTAGAAGCCTTAAGGTCAGAATGTTGTCTTCTCCCATCCTGGTCGGAGTCAGTTAACAATCACATACAGCCTTGCCCCCCTTAGAGATACCCGAGTTTGAGGATGAGGAAGGCAGCTGGGGAGGGGACACAGAGCTAATATTATAGCCAGTACAGTAAGTGCCCTGCTTATATCAGATGATATCTAATGTAATGGGATATAAAATATGATGTTTAAACTTCAGATATGGCCAGCTACTTCCTCCAGATGTTCACTTTTCATTGTCTGTTCCTGATAATTTGAGGAATGGTGACTGATGAATATTTGTCAGATAAATTTATACACCTTACAACCTTGAACACAGTGGTTTGACATAATAGCAACATTTGAGCCTTCAAATATGGTTTGGAATATAGTTTTCACACTTCAAATTTCAGCATTAAAGACCAAACATAGCACACACACTGACTTTAGACTCAAGAATTATAGTATGTTACAGGGATGGATGGATGGATCAAAATGACAATATCCTTTATCATATATGTTCTTTGTACCTCTCCCTAGACATGGCCTTCATCATTGCCATGTTGCTGGCCAGCCTCAACAGCTGCTGTAACCCGTGGATCTACTTGTTCTTTGCTGGTCACCTCTTCCACAACCTGAAGCAATGCTTCTTCTGCTGCTGTCGACAGTATCTCACACCCTCCTCCTGCAGCTGTGATCGGCAGTGCGCACACAAGAGTAACTGCTCCACATTCGTCATCAAGAACACGAGCAGCCAACGGAGCCTCTCCCGCACCACCAGCACCGGAGGACCAGGACACTGAAGTGCCAGCTAGCTGAAAGCCATCCAGGCTTCCGGTAGTGGAGTAATCTGGCAACCATGCAAGTCCTGCAATTCAGGCATTTAATCTTCTGCAGGAGCACTGGGGCAGCCACTGCATTGCTTTTGAATTCAGCTAAATAGACAGTGCAAGCGTAAAGACATAAAGCCCACAACAAGAAGGCAGAGAAAAATGTATTTTTGTAGAGAACGAAAAAAACTGTAAACTGAAGCTTTTACACCAGATAGAGATATCTGTGGATGTTTGTCCTCTGTATCGACAACACAATTTTACTTTTTGACTTTGTGAACAGCAGAGTCCTACACATTATTATTTCTTGCATTGTAGGTGAAGCATGTGAAAACTGCAATTGTCTTTCTCTATGCATGCAACAACAACAAGATATTTCAGAGTTCTTGCTATGTTATCGCTTTGGTCTTGAATCTTGCTGTTGTCCTAATTTGACCTTAAAAAATAAGATAGTATCACAGTTTCCCCTGAATAAGGAGATTTTTATTATTGAAGGAAGAGAAGCAGGAGATTGGCAGATTACAAAAGCATCTTCACACCGTACAAATGAGCACTGATTCACGTACTGTAATAGTTGTTGTGAGCCTTAAAGCAACATCTCTTCAGCATGTTATATTTATGCTATTGTTCTTTGTCACTAGTTAAATGTTGATATTCACATATGATTAAAGATAAAATCCACCATTTGCTTTCGTTTAATCCAAACTTCCCCACTATAACAACTCAAGAAAAAGTCAAACATGCAAAATCAACAAGGAATACATTTCCCATCATGGAGTCTGGTTTCAATGTTTTCTGCAGCAGAATTGTGCTACACATCAAACAGTGTTTGTGCTATGTGAAGTACAGTTCCTTGCATCGGTGTCTACATGAAATGTTTTTTCATCAACTCCATCTCTTCTTTTTACAGGATGGTGCTATGGCGAACTCTGTGTTCTTTAAAGACAGATTTAATCCTGCTGGGGTCAAACTAGAGTAATGGCCCCCTCCTGTGGCCAAACTGATGATTTCAACAGATCTTATTTTTCTTCTCTGTTTCTTCTCTGCGTGATTTGAGGCAATATGCCAACTGGTTGTTCTCAACATATGGAGAATTTTAGTGTCAACATCAGATAATGTGCATAGGCTTTAGTGTGTGTTTTTTCAAACTGTCTTTACTTTATATAGCCTGGCAAGTTGTCAAACTAAACAGCGTGGTAAAGCTATCTTCAAAGGGAGCTTGTTTATGGAGCCAGAAACTCACATTCATACAGTTTCAATATATGTCATTAGACAAACACATAATTCACCGGTCATTAAATGTTTCTCTTGGAATGTGGGAGGTAAGACCGAGGAGTAAGACCAAAGTTGTAATGAAATGAAACCTCTTATATTGTATTTAAACTGTTTCTCATTTAAAGTTTGCAGAAGTCAGCATAGAATAAAGGCCTGGAGTTTATTGTTGTAATTATTCAGGTAGGAAAAAGCTCAAATATATTCAAACAAACACAGATGACACTGATCCTAAATGTGTGTTTTGGCCCTGAAGTAACATGAACCAACAGAAATATTTAGAAATCCGTATTAAGCCCTCAATAAAGGCAGAGTACAGCCCTTACACTGCTGATCTCACACATCTGAGCTTCACTGTTGTATCTTGTAGAGGTCGGGGAGGGTGTGTATAAGCAGAAAGTATGTGCTCGGTTATAAAGGGACAGTTCTCAACAGGTTCCACTTAATTTTTTCTGTTTAACTCCAGGCAGTATTACAGGTAATATTACCATACAGATTAGCCAAAGCAAAAAGTATGTTATCGGTTGCTATCTGCATTATAATGTTATTATTTAATGTATTGAAATGCAATTATAAGTGGATTTCTCTAGGGGTGGCAGTGTGGTGCAGTCATTAGCACTGGAAAGTAGGTCCATAACACGATTCTTCCAACTGGCAGCGGCCTTTCTGTGTGATTTGCATGTTCTCCCTGTGCTTATGGTTAGTCACTTTAGATTAGTCGGTGATGCATGGTTATTTATATTTTGGATATGTATTTATTGACAAAAACAAAACAATGTTAAATAAGATGTCACTGTTAAATATATTACATCTATATTGCACTCATTTCATATTTCATTATTTAGGTATCTTTTTTTCTGTATCCGTTTGCTTCTTGTGTTCCTCTAACCTGCCACTTCACAAAACCAGCAGAGATGTATATGATAAACAGTAAATGATTTTGGGTGGCATTGGACACGCAATGCTTCATTACTCTCCAGTGCTGCATCAAAAACGTATTTATGCTCTTTTAAGAAAATAAATATAATTAAAAGGTTATATCCCCCATTAGGACCAACTTTGTTGATACTATATACTTGGGGTCGGTGTTGCTGAGGTCCAGCTTTCTGCTTTGGTAAAATGTACACATGCTGTTCTCTGACTGATGGAGTACGCTGAATCTGTGACAATGGAGCCAGAGAGGCCGAGAGGACATCAGGCCTGCAGATGTGTGTCTGCAGTCAGAGCTACAGAGGGGGAGTGAAGGATAAAGGTAGTTTATAAAATGAGATGCCCCTTAATGTTATTCTACAACTGAACTCAAGGATTGCCAGCAGGCAACTGCCAGCCATGACTACCTCACACTGACTAAGATACAGCGGGCACTGCTGACACTACACATTGAGAACACAGTTAGATTCACAGTTTTTAGATATGACAACAGACAATGAGACTTAAATCAGTTTATCATGTAGGATGTTTTATTATCTTCCATCCACATCCTGAAAATTACATTCAAATGACACTCAAGTATTCAGTTCAAAAACATACCCAAAACTTTAGCTACATAAATAAAAAATATTAAGGGAATTATATAGTTTAACATACGAAGCAATAGTCCTTTTTCAATCACAATAATAAGTCTTAAAAGGAAACCCAATGAGTTACATTATGCACATGTCTACTTTATCATTGTCTGTAACCCCTTGCCTCCCACTGAGCTTCAACAGGATAATTATGTTCAGAGCTAATATGATTTCAAAGAGATAAACACATACAACCTTGACTTAAATGCCATTTTTTCCCTTAAGAATTGATCCAATATAATACATTTCACTTTTAACAGAACAAAGTATTCATAAGTTTGAAATCACTTACTTCTATGATAGAAAAATTATAGGTCCTATGTTGCTCATTTCATGTTGTTCAAGCTTAAAATTCTTACTGCTGTGATTAAATGTAACTGAATATATAAACCAAACACAGACATAAAGACCCAAATTTAATTTTCTTTAAAAAATAAAAAAAATGATTCTGGAACATCCACAAATTCCTAATAAAAATATATATAATATTCTATAGTTTGCTTCACAAAATGGGTCACTTTCATTATTTTCATTTTTAAATTACCCTTGCGTCCCCAATTTCTCAAAAGGCTGACTCTTTTTTGTCCCTAAAGTGATCGAATTTCTGGTTATTATTAAAATTAATGTTTGATATCTAAACTGATTTTCTTTTAGGTATAAAATTATGTTCTTGTATAAAAAGTGAAAGATAAAAAATACTTGTCCACTGGGGCTGAGTCCACATTACACACCTAGATTGTATGTATAAGTGTCTCATTCCTTGGCCAGGTGAACGCTGAAACCTGCACAGCATTTCCCAGCGCTCTTGCAGAAAGGAAGCACGATGATGCCCAGCACAATACTCCAAAGACTCTGCAGCCATCGTGTGCCAACAGAGAGACACTGGATACAAGGACTAACCATCCTGTCATTGAAACAAACACAAACATTACTCCTTTCTAGAAAAAAAACACACCAGAAAATCATCAGATGGCCTGCGTAGGAACTTCTTGCAGCAGCGCCACCAGCAGGTTGTCTTTTTTTGCATGGATGTGAAGTTTTGTTCAAATAAAACCTCCATTCGGTGTCGTTAAAACTTTTGAGTAAGATTTGGATAACATTGATCAAAAGAGTTAGGATTATCCTTATCAAAGCAAAGGGCTTTCAAGAAAAGGTTCTTAGAAAACTTTATAATTGGTCACACAAAACAATATTACAATGCTGTGGTTACCTTAGACATTTCGTTTTTACATTTTGCCATTTTTTAATCAGCATTGTGACACAGTAGAGGACTTATGTATTAGGATGGCAAAGAAAATCAGGATTTAGTCCACATGAAACATTTCACCAAATATCTGTTAATATCACAATATTTAATTCAAAGCAGCAAAGATCTTTCAGTTGGTGTGGATTTTGGTGACCCTGTAGATAAAGTATGTAGTATAAAGTTTAATTTAGAGCACTTGTTATCTGGATTTTGTCATCTTTCAAAGTATCTCTCTGGATCAGGTTGTTCCTATCCCTTTTACTTTAAAAACTGGGGCAAAGGTAAGCAAATAGTAGAAAAGTGGATTCCAAATTCGGATCATTTTTTACCAAAATGTTATCTTGTAAACAATTACGCCCAAGGTAAAATGTCAATGTGTCCAGTAGTTTGGTTTATAACCAGATGCAAAGATGTCTTTGGTTCAACTGATCAAAAACTTGAGTGGTACAATGAAACACAGTTTAATATTAGTGATTAAGCATTGTCCTTTGTAAACATGTGTTTCAAAGCACCATTGAGCCAAAAATTGAGCCTCAGAGGGAAGCTTGTATGGATGTTTCTTGTTAGGGATGTGAGCAAGAAACATTTTGGTTTAGGTGAAAAAGATGGGGAACTTAAAAAGCCTTTTTTTGTTAATATGAGTAAAACACACATGTCCCTGGAGAAGGTAACACCTTGACACTTATTGGGTTTAAATCAAATAAAAGGCCATTTCCGAGACGTGGGTTGTCTACTGTAGAAAAATGTTGGTGTTGCATAAACCTACCAAATGTGGAAGCAGCTGAAAATGGCAAAGAGCAGTCCAGAGATGATCGACACAGGAATGGCCAGAAGCACCGTGACAATCCTATAGATCCAAACCCTGGACACCTCAAACAGGGCATGACTCCAGATCCACACTCTGTCCCCACTGCGTACCGTCACCGGCTCAGCAATCACATCCTCAAACGTCACCTGGAGACACAGAGAAAAAGAGATACTGCTGCTACAGTAGTCATGCTTCAGTTTGGATTTAGATGAAATCCACTGGAGGGCAGTGCAAAAAGCCTTTTTTTTGTTCTGCATGCCATGTGACAAAAACACACAAATGATCCACTGCAGAAGGTAATACCTTGAGGCAGTCATTGATACCTCGGGGGTCTCTGACATTTATCAGAGGCTTGGTGTCACTGATTTCCACAAGTGCAGACGTGTGTATGTTTTCTTCTTCCTCCATTGCAGGAGGTGCCCTCCACAGCGTCTGAGGTTCATCCCCGTTATCATATTCATCAGGGTCACTAGAGTCCTCCAAATCAATCTCTACTTCCTCGGAATCTTCTCCTTTCATCATGGTTTCCATCCCAACATGTAAAGCAAATGCAATACAGAGAGCAGAACGTTTACTTGTCACTTCTCCCTGCAGCTCAGACTGAGGCTGCTGACCGAACCCCTCAGCTGGTTGTGCTCTGAGGTTATATTGGGAACGTTACAGTGCCCTCCATGGTATTTGCAGATGGTCTCTCAAGTGAAGATCGTTTTCATGTGCAGTGGGTTATAAATACTCAGCATGGAGATAGCTCTGTATACAGGGATTCACTCTAAAGCGAATGCAATCACATAGACATTTTATGTATTGAGCTTTTTACTTCACAGGATGGCTTATCAAACCACTGTCTGCAATGATGAAAGTGAAGAAAGACATATTTAGACTACACATAATGGAACTTCCAACAGGAATATAACTGATTTTAGGATTTAATGAATTAGTTAATACAATTTGAGCAGGAAAGAGGTACATTGAAAAAAAAAGATTCTGCTGTCTCCCTCTTAAAGTGAATGAAATTAAATAGATCGATCAGAGGAACCGCCATATGTTCTGTAAAACTATAAAAACATTAGGATTTTATTCCCCACTAACTAACTCCTTAGATATGTAAACGTAACCTGCTACAAGGTTTTTTCTTCACCAGTATGTTCTTCTCCACTCTTTTTTGATATTATGATTCTGTAAACGACACATAGCATTGATATAAAGACATAATTCTCATGATAGCATTGCGTTGCATTGCATACTCTGTTACTTCCTCTGCCACTTCTGCGTCATTCTTTTTGAGTCATGTTTTACCTCAGGAGACCCCCTCTCTAGTCCAACCAGGAAAGTCTCCTGCTGTGAGGTGCATGTGTGAACAACCAGACCAGGATGATTTGTAGCAGTCCTCCTCTATTCTCTAGAAAAGCATTTCTTTCACATGATACACAAACCCGTGGTTTCCTGTAAGTACATCTTGAGTTTGTTTCATTCAACGACCCACCCTGACCTCCTCCCAAAGTGATCTTTCAGGCCACTTTTACCACTATATCATCTGATTCCCTCCTTTTTTGCTGTCATTATTATTACAGCCACTAGAGGTCCCTACCAAACAACTAACAGGAGCAGGGCCAGGCCTGCTGTATGTCATCTATCGCTTCTTTTTTGCACATAATTGCTTTTTATTTAGAACAGCACCAAAAAGTCTATTTCTAACAATTTTCATTTCTAAACATGCAGTAGGTAGTTCTTTTCAAAAGTGTTGTCAACACATCAAGCAGTCAAAACAATAAAACAAGCGCATGTGGATGTGTTTGCACAAATAAGGGACTTAGGCCATTTACACATCCAAAATATATAATGCAACATTAGCATTTATTTAGAGTTGTGTCTTGGTAACAGGATGAATGTTAGCTCAGTATTCACTTTATTTTAGCAGATATTTTCTCTCAACAAACTCCTGATATTACTTATTCTGCTGTTGCAAGTCGTAGAGGAGAAAAGAATAACATTCTGAAGAAGTAGAAGAAGAAGGAGAAGAAGACTTGTGAGAATAATTAAGAACAGGATAACAAAAGTGGAGAGGCAACTTTAGCATACAGGAAAGGGTGCACCAGTGACTCAGTCTGTCAGATTTTGGTTGAGAACATGTAAGTCACCGGTACTGACAACAAGTAAAAATTGGGACTGGTTTCTGCTGAAGTTCCAGTTCAAATTTCTGATTACAGCTGAGGTGCCCTTGAGCGAGGTACCGAACTCCCAGCTGCTTGAGGTGCTAGTCCCTGTAAAGTCTCCATAACTCTGACATCTCTCCATTAATGCATGTCTATGGTTCCTGTGTATGTGTGTGTGTGTGTGTCTCTCTCTCTCTCTCTCTCTCTCTCTCTCTCTCTCTAACTCTCTCTCTCTCTCTTTCTCTGTCTGGTATGTTTTGCAACATGTACATGCTCACAGTATAAGAAAAACCCTTTCACCTTTGTCAGCCTTTGGACCCATTAACCAGCCATCCCCACCTCTATTAATAGATCAGTTATGAACCCAGAAAGTGAGACCTTATCAGTCTTTTCTCAGCTACTCACCAGACCTTCATCACAAGGCTGTCTGACACGACCCCCATCATCAGTGTCAGCAGCTAACAGTCTGTTAATCTAAATAATGTAAACATACAAAGTAAATCCTTCGGAAATATCCTCCCCTCAAACCCATCTTATCCATCCGCAAGACATAAATATCCTTTAAATAATTCCACACGCTGCATAGTTTGTGTTCACTTTACAAACTGTAACAAAGTACATGACAAACTGTTCACAGTTGAACAAGAGTGAGCTACTGTAAGATCACAAGTCTCCATGGTAATGACAGTTTCTGTGTGCTTGATAAAGACAGAATGGTAAAAGTGAATTGATGAGACAAGAGTTTCCTGTGTCAGCGCCGGTGACGACGGAATGCTAATGGACTGAACACCTCGCCAGATGGAGTATGTTTGTGTCTGTAATGCACAGGTGAGGTCAGCAGACAGTGTGAGTGTGTGTGTGTGAGCGGGAGGTGGGGGGGGTGAAAAGTCATGAAAAGACAAATAAAAGATGCCATTCAGTTCTGTGTATCGTGTATCTATGATTACATTTAAGACCTTCAAGTATAGTTACAGAAGTTGGATGTTTGTAAAAATTTATTTTACTTTTACTGACATTTTAAATTACTTTTCAACCTTTGAACATCAATCACACTTCATCTGAGCATTATGTATCACGTCTGAAGTGAATGAATATTTTGTGTTTAAAATAAATTGGTGTTGAGAGATTAAGGCTTCTCGTACAAAAATGAAATAGACTTAACTTCTATACAATCGAAATGTTATTTAAAAGCACCTAACAACCTTATGTATTTCCTCATAACATTAAAAACTAATGCCTAAAAAAAGGAACAATTAAACTTCAAACTTCTTTGGGGAGCTTTCATTTCTCTAGATCTTGCTAAATGAGCAAAAACAAAAAAAACGTCAACAGATTTTGACTCAAATGTTGCTTATTCTTCATTTTTTCAGAGAGGTTTAAATCGTCACCTTTAACTCTCTGAGCCACAACCAATTCAAACTGGTACAAGTACCAAGATTAAATATACCGAATGTAACATTACTAAAACGTCTTGCCCTTAGGGTTAGGGTTATACTGGATATTAGTTTCCTATGCCTCTCACACATACATATTGATGTTATACACCATCAAGTGTGCCATTGCAGATGCAATGCGCAAGAAGGGTTAGGGTTAAGGTTCAGATTCAGGGTGAGGTTTAGGGTTTGCATCAGAACATATTTCCATACAGAATACAATGTACAGATTACATTACAATGCTTCAAGATGTGAAACCAATTTTAGTTCTTGGGAATTAATAAACTTAATTCTGCATTTGTGATAGTGTCTTCTGAAGTTAACAGTGCTCACAGATCCATCCTAGAATTCTCCAACATGGCGTAGCTTTATTAACTCCAAGTAAGCATCAAACTATACAGCATCTTGTATTACACTGAACACAAAGTGCTTAACTAAGCTGCTTTAGTACCTTTCGTGGTTTTGAACACATAACTTACCAGTAAAACAGGAGAATAATTACACAGAGTTCCTTCATGTTTGTGACCTTTAACCTTTTGATCTCAGCCTTTAATAAAATGTAATGAAAATCCCCAAACAACATGAATACACTTTATTTAGGAAAACAAATACACAGAGTTTGCACATCTTATGACATATAGGTTAATGAAAGATATTCTCTCCTGACAAGTGTTCTGGTCTACTCACTACTACATGATTACTTGATTGCTCACCACAAACATATCAGCTGTGTACATCATCGCCATATAAGTGATTAAAGGAATAATCTGTATTTTTACCTCCAACCAGGGTTCATGCTCTGTGTTCCTGACAACAGCAGCTTATCAGGGCCATAAGGGATGTAGACAGTGTTTTTTGCACAGCACCTGTCAGTCCAGCTGTTTTCAGTACAATAGGTCAGACTGATTATTTGTAATGTCTGGTTAACAGCACACTCACTTATTCAGAGCCTCCAATCTCACACCACATTGAAAAAAACAAACAGGGAAATGTATTTGTTTAATGAGCACTGATTTCTCTGGGGGGGGGGGGCATCTTTTTTTGGTATCAACCCAAAATAGAAAAGTTCCATGAATAGTTATTGGATATCTGCTTTCCATGCTTTATGTTGGGCTAATGACTAACAGTCAGTAAATGGTATACTGTGGTGAGACTTTAAAGGTCACATATTACGCAAAATACTCTTCACCATGATTTTCTAACACTACTATGCCCTAGCCTGTCTGCAATCCCCCAAAATATGAGAAAAGTTAATCCTCTTCGTCTTTTGTCTGCTCCACTTTTCATAAATGTGTGCTCAAACAGGCTGTTTTGAGACTTTCCCTTTGTGACATCACATCACAAAGGGCAGTAACCCCTCCCCCAGGTGGATGACACTCCCACAGCTAGGTGTTTGTTCTGCCGTCTGAGTCTGCCTTCTCACCATAAACAATTAGGGATGGTGCAAGAAAGTCCAAACCACCCAAGCCCTTCTAGTGAGGTGTGGTCGACTACAGCTCACTTGCATTTAAAGCTATAGACACAGAAACAACCTGAGTTCTGAGCAGGGCTGAATTAGAGGGGGTTTGAAAGGCCCGCTAATAATACAGGATCGGAGTAAAGTTTTGGCAAGAAACTTCACAGAGATGTTTATACAGGCTCTGAGACCTCGTTGTACTTGTTGAAAAGGAGTATAGTGACCTTTAAAATGTATTCATTGCTGTTTTTTGGTAACTCTGTATGTATGCCATCTGTTTGTCTCTAAGTGTGTGTTTTTTGTTTATTTTCTGATATTCAAGTTTCAGAGTGGAGTGCTTGGTGTGTTTTTGTTTACCCATTCCCCCTTGTCACTCTCTGCACACCTGTCTTAGATCTCCATCCACAGACCTTCCTGCAGTCAAGCACTCAACACTAAATCTGTGCTGGATCATTGTGCCATTTACAGCCAGCTCAAGTAGCCTTTTTGCCAGCCTTATAACTACCTTGTTTGTTTGTGTACTTGCCACCTTGACTAAG